TCTCTTTGAATTATTTAAATGACATTTCGGTCACTCAAAATGCTATAATTTTCTTAAAGTTTCAAGGGACTTTTTTGTTACTAAGAAATTAATATAAAAGGCCAAATTGCCCTTGATTGAAATAAAAATCCCAAACCTCAAAATAAATATTTGCGAATTGCTATTGAATTCTTATAATTTTAGGATAAAAAGTTGTGAATATTAGAACAACTTGTAAATAACAATTAATATTTGCAACACTTGAAAAATATTAAAATTTCAGATGCAAACTTGCAAATTGTCATTGAATTCTTGTGAATTTAAAAAAAAAAGTTGTAAATTTTAAAACAAAACTTGTAAATAACAATTAATATATGTAACACTTGAGAAATATCAAGATTTCAAATGCAAACTTGCAAATTATTGTTGCATTCTTGTGAATTTAAAGAAAAAAATTGTAAATCTTAAAGCAAAACTTGTAAATATCAATTGATATTTGTAACACTTAAAAAATATCAAAATTTTAAATAAAAGCTTGCAAATTGCTGTTAAATTTTTATAATTTTAGGAAAAAAAAATTGTGAATCTTAAAACAAAACTTGCAAATCAAGTGCGTGAAGTATCTATTCTGAGCTTATGATTTTTATTTCAATTAAGAACAGTTTGATCTTTTACATTGATTCCTTAAAAATTCCTAAAGACGTTAAAAAAATTATAACATTTTGATGGATTAAAATATTATTTATATAATTCAAAGAGATTTTATTATTATTTTTTCCTCTAAAAAAAATTAGTTAAAATCTTGACTTTCTAAAAACTTTCACACTTTTTCAATCGAGTCCTTAAACGTGATAAGTATAACATTTGACTTATTCAAAACATTATCATTAATTACTTAATAAAGTAAAATCAATATATATATATATATATATATGTATATGTATATGTATATGTATATGTATATGTATAACAACTAGCCAATGCCCTATATTTTGAACCAAACAAAGCTTTTAAAACACAACTTATGTTGTGGTCCAGAGAGAATACCATTATACCCACTCTTCCAAACAATGTCCTTATTCCAGCAAGCTCTCACTTAACATTTAACACACAAATTAAACACGTGGTCAAGCTGCATTACCATCTGCCCAAGAATATATTTCGAGATGATGGATTATGACAAATAAAATTAACATAGCTTGCACGTTGTCCATGTCCCCATGAGATTTTTCTTCAGTCAACAGCAACAGTAATAGCAATAACAACAAGTCCTCTCTCACTAGATGGGATTACCAACATGGATCGTACGATACCATAGTACTCTATATTTTTCTTCAATCAGCAGATGGGCAAAAATTAATTTGAATAATGCTATAAAAAAAATTAATTCGAACAAGAAGAGTATAGCAGTTTCAAATTACAATACATCTGTTTGCTATAAAAATAATTGCAAGACCCTTCAAAATGATAAGTTACAATCTATAATATAAAAACCTCAAACAAGACTCTCGGGTTAGTGCTTGTGTATGAGCTATAGATTGTAATGAAAGTCAAATTGTTTAGAGTGTTCTCCAAGACTATAATTAATAATGAAAACTTGTATTGCTAGTGTATTGTTATGGTCTGTGGAACAAAATCGGCTGAACTACTTATAATTTTGACTTCAATCAGAACAATCACAGCAACAGAATCATATTAGATAAAAGATTTTTTGTAGACTCTCACGCTACTTTGCATTACTAATGTCCATCCTACCTGAGCGGTATGTGACTTGATAACTTCCTTTGCTGCTTTACATTTAACAGTTTCTTCACCAGCTATGGCTATAGCTTCTTTCAGCTGCTTGCTTGGTATTTCTAGCTCAATTCCTTGAAGCTGAGCTTGGCAAGCCAGATTTTCCACCTAAAAGAAAAGAGTGATTAGGTTTACAACCAGACAACCACGTGAATCAGCTACCATCAAGTAATCAAGTATTAAAAAGGAAGAGAGTGGGGGGGGGGGTTCCTCACACACAAACAGAACCCATGCATCAAACAGTCAATTAAAGACCTTAAAAAGCTATAGGTTGAGCAAGCTATTACAAGAAACTTTTTAAAAGTAATTGATTGAACTTTCCGAGCCAAAAAAGGTAAAGAAAAATTCCCATTGTCAATTTTGTATATCTACGTGGACTTTGCAAAGCAAGGAACAATAATTGTTATAGCTTAGATATGAGCAGATGGGAATACAGAATCTCCTTTTCTTTCTAATACAAGCTTGCGTCACAGAATCCGACTGCTCCAAACATTAACATTACCAAATACTCTTTCCTTCCTGGACAATTTTTCATCTTTTATTATTTAACAGAAATGATAGAAGATGACCAAGTCTGTTTGAGAGGCTGGAACTTGTAAGCCCATAAACATAAAGATTCTACACTGAAAATTAATGTAGGCAAGAAAGGAATGTTGTCAATAAATGGGTAAAACAAATTACCTGCGCTCTTAATTTAATATCCTCCTGATTGATGCTATCATTTGTCCTCTTAGCATTATCCACAACAATCTTTAGGGAAGTAAGTGCCCCCAGTGTTGGGGTTGGAGTAGTTGAACAAGGTCGGCTGGGCAAGCTGGAAATGAATGGGGGATGGTTCTTGGGGAACAATTCTAGATCCAGGAACAGAAGCTGAAAAAAAACTTCTTCGATGATCCAAATACAGGATTGAAAGATCTAGAACTATCAACTGCCCCTCACTGTTCGCCTCCATTTGGAGCAGGCAAGACATGACTACAGTTGAATTCCAGTACTTTATTTTAATTCGAAGACCTACTTTCCACTTGCTTCAAGGATTCCATTGAAGAGAATCCTGCAAGTTGATTCTGAGATCTTGAATCCAACTTATCATCCTTATAATAAACTCCAATGATCCCTGATTGATACTTCCTCTTCTGCTCAAGAAGAATGAGAAACAATTGTCAGACACGACAAGGTTTGTTTGGATTTGGTTCCATTGAGCTTTAAGAGACTTCATAAAGCCACATGGATAACCCAAAGATTAAAGACAGAATAATCTCATAATTCATATTAGCTCTTCAGGATTTTGATGAACATTAAAGAATTATTCAACTTAGTTCAGATATCCTATTAATATAACCTATGCATGTCATAAAATTTAATAAGGGAACCAGATATATTTTTAGTTTTTTACAAGTGTACATCTCTTTAGTCAGTGAAAATCTCACAAAACTTCCAGAGTAAAGAATAATGCACACGTCCATTTACTGAATGTACACATCCAACCAACTGAAATTACTTCCACTGCGGCAGAACTAAATACGTACATTGTGAAAATGCTTATGGTGATTTATGAAGTTTGACTTGGAGTAATGATTTAATCACATGATATTTGGTACCAAAATAATCAAAGTTCCAAACCATAATGTTAAAGGGATTTATGTCAGAGTTAGCAACATTAGATAGCTGTGTATAGAAGTTGCAGATTCTAACAAAACTAAAGGAAACCAAATCAATATGACATGTTAGCAATGGCCAATGATGTAGCAACATAAGATGCAAAAGTTATACCAAGATTCTGAGCAGGGTCAGAGCTTAAGATTCACAATGAAAGAACTTGTCTATCAGTATACTTTGAGGATCCTGAAACACGAAGAAATTGTATTACACCATCCTACCCACATCCAAAAGAAGAATAGTAGTCAAGGAATTCAAGTGATGTTTTTTCCTTTTCATTTTGTCTGAGAATTCGATAAAGCTTCATGCAAATGAAGAAAACTCTAGAAAGAACCTCAATTGAAGTACCGAATTGTTAGAGCTGGACCCAAACCCCTTTTGGGAATGGTATCTCGGCAAGCTCCCATCCAAGCAAACTGCACAACAAGCTCAAATTACACAATTGAGTAATACACTTCACCCTTGAGCATTGTTTTTAATTATTCAGAAATGAAGTGATATCAGGTTCACATGCATAATCAAACATGAAGAAAAAAATCTGTTTACAAGAAGAAGCCTCACCCACTTCATCAATTTTCACTTTAGAAATAGATCCACCTTGCTTGACTGGAGTTGACCCCACTTTATGCCTTATTGTTCCTGAAATTATAGTGATAGCAGCCGACACAGATGTCAGCACACAGCTAATTTTTAATCAGTTACCTAAGATGAGAAACCCATTTTATGCTCAAATGACAACTTTGATAAATAAAATGCAAGTTTATACTTTACATGGCATAAGTGAAGAAAAATTAGTATGTCTAGTATGTCTAAACCTTGACTATTATATTTGAGTAGAGGAGTTCAAGTTGTCTAGCAACATCTTTTCTTCTTGATTTTACTTTTGTTTTTGAAGCCCTGTCTTTTCCAGCACTAAAACAAGTTGAAGTTCTTTAAGGATCTAAAGAAGTAACATGTACGGCCCTTAAAACTTGTACAAGTTTTCCAAGCTAAAATAGTAAATATATATTCATATAAATGTGGTGTATTGTTGGCCATATTAGTTAGCAGTGGTACAAAGGTTTCTCTTCTAAACTACATGGAATTCCAGTGATTAAGGCATCGGCATATACCCTGTCACAAAGACAACGTGATTTTGTCATTTTGTTATATGTATTTCCTGCATGAATACAGTTTCATCAATGCTAAGGTAAGTATAAGCACTATGCTGAACAATTTCAGTACAAGCTTCAAAGTAACATGTTCATGTAAATGTTTCACACTTCCATTGGGCATATAAAATGCCTAAGTCAAAGACTTAATAAACTCTTTAACCATACACTACAGACAAAAGCATCAAGGTTCCCCATCTCAGTTGAGTACTCATCAAAGCCAATATTTTATCTCATAAAATCTCTTAGGTTAAGAGAGGAAACAAGCTTGCAGGGGTTCAGGGACTGCAGACTTGGAACAGAATGCAGCAAACCATGCTTCTTTTTTTGGGATTTTTATTGAGGAGAACATTTTAAAATATTATGGTGAGACAAGATAGTTAACTTGATAAATTTCAAGTAAGTCAAAGCAACTTGCCTTCTAATCTTCAAATTGCTCTCTGTTGTATCACAATGCAGCTGGCTAGAAAAACAACTTATGCTTCCGTATTTCATAAAGCTTCTCCTCCATTCACAACAAGCACAAATTTTTAGTGTTGAACACAAACTCGTTATAAGAATAACTGCCAAAGATCTTGGCACTTACTCTTTACATGCCCAGCTGATGTACAACCAGATTGGAAAATTCATCTTGAAGTAGGACCACTATAAAACAATACCACCAATAATCATCAACTCATGTATTCTTATCAAGTCGCTCAATCAAAAGTGTGTATGTCTGAGGATGCAATCGACACCCTTTCTTCTCCCAAAGACTTAGAATCTTGAAACATTCATCAAAATAGCCCCTATCTAATAATCCATCTATAAGAACTTTCCAAGCCACTTCATCATGATTGTACTCACTATGGAGTAAAGCAGTGAATGCTGCTTCAGCCTTCTCTTTGCTTCCTTCATCACATAACCCACAAATAAGCACCTTGCAGGAATCCAGATGTGCCAAATGGCCAGCCTGAATCATATCATCTAGTATTCTCACTGCATCCTCATACATTTTCAACTCACAGCAGCAACTAAGAAGAGAATTATGAATATCTTCAGAAGGAGACATTCCACCTTCTTGCAAATGATTTAACAACTCATGGCTAAATTCAAGTTCCCTACCTTGCATAGTCCTATAATTAGCTTGTTGTAGGTGTTAATATTAGGCACGCAACCATGCGCAACCATTTTCTCAAATAGTAGAGATATGATATCAAAATCAGTTGCCTTCCATAAAATAGCCATATCAATTGAGCTTGCACCTGAAGCAAATGCACTTGGTTCAAAGAAACCATCTTTCATCTTTTGCTTTTCCTTTACCAGATGCTTCAACAAAAAGGCATATGTTTGATGAGAAGGTTCACAGCCAGCATCGAACATTCTCTTAAGAATGCCGAAAGCACAATCAGTCAATTGCATGCGCCCATATGCATCAATTAATAATGTGTAGGTCAAAGAATCAGGAATGATTCCATCTGCCTTCATCTTAGCCATCATGTTCTCAGCTTCTTTTACCCTTCCTTGAGAGCAATATGCATGCACAAACGTTGTATATGTATATACATCAGGCTGACATCCAGATGATATCATTGTGTTAAAAATCCTATCAGCATAATTTAAGTCACCGTCTTTCAAGATTTGCGCAATCAGACTTGTATATGTTTCAGTTGTGGGCTTCAAATTCATCTTTAACATTTTATTAACAAATAGCATTGCTTCACGAACTTTTTTCTCCTTGCACAAGCTATCTATCAAGACATTGAAAGTGATTGAATTTGGCAAGTGTTCCTCAGCAATTATTCCTTGAAACAAAGAGACTGCATCACCAATCTTCCCAACTTTGCAATACCCATAAATCAAAGCAGTATACATTACTTCATTTGCTTTTATATTTTTATCCTTGAGGGACTTTATAAGTTTATGAGCTTCTTCCACTCTCCCTACTTTGCACATCATGTCTATGAAGATACTGTAAGTCCACCCATCAGGAACTAGACCATTTTCAACCATCAAATTAAGCAACCTATAAGCATTATCCAACTGACCTACTCTGCCCTGCCCATGAATGAGTGAGTTATATGTAACAATTGTTGGAGATAGTTTGTGCTCACGCATTCTTTCAAACAACAACATTGCCTGGTGTGTGCCATTAGCTTTACAAAACCCATTGATCAATTCATTGTATGTCCGAGCATTAGGAGTACATTTATTTGATTCCATCAAACTTAAAATTTTTAATGCAGCTTCAGTCATTCCCTCTTTACTATACCCATCAATTAAAGCATTGTATGTGACCACACTAGGAACCAAACCTTTCTTCAACATTTCATCAAACAATTTCCTGGCATCATCAAGATTCCTTTCCTTACAGAAGGAATCAATAAGCACAGTATATGTATGAACATTAGGTTGACCACCTCTTTCACCCATTTCATTAAAAAGTAGTAAAGCTTCCACTTTCCTACCCAACCAACACAAAGCACATATAAGAACTGTATAAGTGCGAACAGTAGGAGAACAATTATCCTCACCCATTTGTGAGAACAACTTGAGAGCCTCATCAATCTTCCCTGCCTCACAAAAACCGTGTATGAGATTAGTATAGGAAACCTCATTCCTTGGACAGCCCTTATGTGGCATAAGTTCAAATATACTGTAAGCAGCCTCTACATCTTTATTTCTACAATGACCCAATATCAAAGAAGTGTATGTAAATGTATCTGGAGAGAGACCGGATTCCAGCATCTTACTTACATATAAATCAGCCTCAACCAAATTCCCCAACTTACAATAACCATTTACCATTGTATTTAATGTATAGATATTAGGCGACACCATATCGTCCAACATTTTCAGGTACAGACTCTTCATTTCATCAATAAGATGAAACCTTGACAAAGACATCAGAAGTACATTATTATAACACTTAAGGGTGAGCTTGAATGAGAATTCTCCCTCACTATTTAAATTCAATCTCAGCAATAGGTCCCGCACAAACCTCACATCTTCAACTGAATCAGAAGATTTAATCATTGAAATCCGAACATACTCTGCAACTCGTAGTAACTTATTACGTACTAAAATATTGAGCATAGAAGCATAGGAATGAACATTGTGCTTGTATCCTCTCTTTCTGGCAATCCAATTGAAGAAAGCTAAAGCAGTTTGGGGATTAAGATCAAGATTAAGAATTTTAGAAACATGAGATGGGGTTATAGACGGAAGTATATTCTTAAGGGCTGGCTGATTTTGCCAATTAGGGTGCGATAGTATTGAGAAGAGATGAAAGGAGGGATCCGACGGTTCTGGGTCTACAGTAAGAGGTTGAGGGAGAGATGCTAGGGAGGATAAGTGCTTGCATAGGCGATAAAGCAAGAAGGACTCACTGGGGATGACAATGGCTTTCAAAATTTTCATCTTGCGGCATGGCACAGTGGTGAGAATGTGGGGAGATGAAGATGATGATGACGGAGAATTCAACCTGTGAAAATCAAACATGCAAAACCAACCATGTTTGAGTTCTCAGCAATGCAAATCCCAAGTTCAAATTCATATCCCCCAAAGTCCAAACAAGAGGAAAGACCTGTTTCAGAGAAATGTCGTCAGAGTTAGATACAGTTATGGAAGACAGTCCACAAAGTATCCACCAAGAACAATAACAACGATACTCAAAAGAACATAGCTGCCATTGTAAAAATTCTCCCACAGGTCCCCAAATCCTATAGTAACTGTGTTATAAGATATAATGGTTTTAACCGGTACATTGGTTTCAGCCATGACCATAGGCGGACCTATATTACACTAAGTGGGAACATCTACCACCACTGAAATCTCTAAAATATGCAAAGTTGATATAATACCATTTATTAATTTTTGTTCCAGATGCTTTGACACAATTCGAGCCAGGTCATTTACAAGATCATACATCACAGATACCTTGAAAATTTTAAGATTCATAAACAGAATGCCAATACACAACAAATCCAACATTGCAAAACAACACAATGCAAATCAAACAAGTCGCTAGTAATCAAATGAGGAAAGCAGAAGTATAATAGCCAATTACGCACCATTCAAGCAAAAGCTAGCAAAAAATAAATAAATAAACAAACTCACTCTGTAAATATTCCCAAATTCAAAAGCGTCAACATTTAAGCAATTACATGACCATATTCTAAGTCAAATTAAAATGAAAATTGTAAAACAATGCAAGAACAAGCACGCAGGGAACAGATGACACGACGAACAAATTCAAATCTAGATTCCAAGCCAGATTGAATAAATCAATCTCACCGGTCCGAGGACAACCGCGCAGGGATGACAACGGTGCACTGCATCCGACGCAGTTCTGGATGCTTGTTCGTCGACGAAGAGAGATGGACCCGCCACTCACGAGATTGTGCTTCGTCGGTAGGTCGAAGCAAATAACAAAAACAATTTTTTTTTTTGTTTGTAACAACAAAAATAACTGATTAATAACCATTTAAATATATGTTTAAAATCTTCATTCTAAAATATACTTTTAATATTTTATTTTTATATAAATTTTATTTTAATTTTTTAACTTTATAAAATATTTTTAATCATTTAAAATTAATATTATTAATTTTATTATAAAAAATTTTTATATTAAACTTTAAAATATTAATATAAAAATTTTATGTTGAGTTTAATTTTTTTAACAATAATAATGATTAACATAAAAAATAATTATTTAAAATTTAAATTATTAAGATTGAAAAATCAAAAAATATTTTATAAAAGTAAAAGGTTGAACTAAAATTTTATATAAAATTAGATGATACAATAAATAAATAATTTTAAAAGTTAAAACCGTTTAAATGCATATTTTGATACATAAATTTTTTAAAAAAAAAAATATTGTAAATTAATTTTTATATTTAAAATTTAAATATTTTATTTATAATTGAACTTATTGAAGTTATAATTATCAATATTTTTAATTTATTTTTTAATGAAGATTTTACCACTATACATGTTGTTAATTCTTTCTTTAAGATTTTGTCACTTTTTCCAAAGTTGATTACATCTTTTATCAACCCAATTTAGTTAATAAAAAACTTTTCAAATGTACAATGCGAAATCCTAATAAGCACTCAATCTCTTTTTGTATCCACTTCAACAAATTAGAGGTGTAAAAACATATTTTCTAATTTTGATTATGGTAAAATTAGAAAAGCATTTGTATTTAACTGGATTTATTTACTCAAAAATATGGTATAAGTTTGACAAATTAAAATGTCTTGAATTCATTTTGTCAAATTTCTTAAAAAATTCAAAGTTTTGCTCCAAAACTATAAAGTTTTTTGTCTCTGTCATAAATATCAAAAAGTTCTATGCTGTTTTTCTGATATATCAAAGCTTTTCTCTCTTTTGCTAATTTGTTCAAACTTTATGTGTCTTGCTTAAATAATTTGAAGTTATTTTGCCTCTGGCTTATATTTTTTCCAAACTTTAGATTTTTGGTTTAAAACTTTGAAGTTTTCAACTTTGAAGTTTCTAAGTTGGCTCCTGAAAACTTCAAAGTTTTCTACACCAACTAATATATCATTCAAATACTTCAATGTTTCTTCCTTTACTCCAAAGTTTATAAGTTTCAGCATCCTTATAGTTCAAAATTTCAAACCTCTGTTCAAAAACGTTGAAGTTTTTGTACTCTGATTCATTTCCTAAAATACTTCAATGTGCTTTCTCAAAACTCTAAATTTTCCAAGCTTTTTGGATGAACCTATTCAAACTTCAAAGTTTTGCATACAAACTTCAAAGTTTTTTAAACATCTCAAGTAGTTTCTTCATACTTCAAAGTTTTCTACATTTGCTTTCAAAGCTTGTGTTGTGCCTTGAAAAGCATCAAAGTTCTTCAAAATCTTCAAAGTTTTCTCTCTAGTCCAAATTTCTTAGAATCTAAGTTTTGATTTACATTCTGACAATCCTTCTAATTTAATCTAAATTCACTTTACATTATTTATAAACATTTATATTCAGATTAACAATGTTTAGTCCTTAATTATATCTTGAATGAGTTTTATCTCTTTAATCCAATTTTGCTTCAAATCAAATACTTTGAAATTTGTTCAAAAATATCAAAGTTTTGCTTCAACAGTAATAATGTCAAAATATTTAATGCTTGCTTTAAGCTTGAAACACATTACCCAACTTAGAAATTTTATTTATTCCATCTTTTTTGGAAAAACTTAGCATCATCATTGAAGATAAACATCGGGTAAAGCATCCAACACTCTAATTAATAAGAAGCAAGTCATAACAGATAAAGTCATGAGCATAATGGACACTTGGTGCAAAGACATTATAAAATGAATCATTTATAAAGTTTGACAAAGAAAAGTTATTTATGTGAATCATTACATTGAATTCTTCAAACATCTTTTGTTCTTAAATTTATTATAAGTAAACTTCATTGATTGTACAACTACTCTTCAAAGAGTTTATTGAGATTTTTAATCTCTTAATGATCAACCCTATTTTATACACTTAGAACATAACAATTTGAGTTTGGGGAACATTACCTTTGTAAAGGGAAGTATTCTAAACTTGTATAGGGATGATTTATATTGAAGCATTCAAGAACTCGAGTCAACTTTTAAATTTATAGTGAAAAATCCTAAGGGCTGAGTTTGAGAATTGGAAAAAAGCAAGTGAATTGACCGAACCAGTATAGACTCCTCATGTTGAATTTCTCTCCTCTTTACTCCAACACTTATGGTGATAAAATTCCTATATCTTAATTCTTTCAATTGAGTTTTTATTTGTCAAAATTTTTATTAGCCCAATTTATCTCCCTTCTTGGGCACATTTTCAAGAGGTGGATTGATAACCAGAAACAAACTATTTATATGAAGACTTACTTAATTATGATAGGAAAAGAAAAGGGGATTTAACACGAACTTTAACCCATTATAAAACATAAGGCACCTTTCAAAACTAATCTAGCTTGATTACACCAAACCAAACCAATATGAATTGATTGAAATTGATTATAAATATGGTTTGGCTAGGTTTGTTTTTTTGGCAAAACCAATTAGTTTGGTTTGCATTTTTGCTTACAAAATATTTGTTTAGGATTTGTGAGTGTCATGAACTCAATTTTGAGTTACAAAGCCCCCCGAACATTTAAAAGTGCATCTATTTCTACCCTATCATTAATGCGCCCATTAACCAAATAGTTTTAAAAAAATGTACTATGGCACTTCACGTGACATCTAAATGGATACCTGAGAAATTAATAAGATCATTTTTTTCTCTCAAAGTATTCATTTAGGGATACATGATATTTTAAACTCAATTTTGAATCATTTCCCTTCTTTTAATGTTAAAAAATCAAACCATGGTACCACGTGTGTTCTATCGCTAATACACCACAGACAAAAATTAATCTAAGCGAGTGGTTCCTCACGTGTACATGTGGGATTCAATTGGATGCCCAATCAAAAATTGAAAAAAAAAAATTCCTCACTCAAATCACAGTCGTGACACCAAGATCTTAACAAAAAAAAAAAATCCTTGACAAACTGTCAAAACTTGCTCAATTTATAAGAAATAGGATCTCATATCACTTGGAGAACACAGACACACACACATACAGGGCTTTGTCCATATTTTCACCAACTTATCCATTTTTCTCAAAAGATTTACAAAACAAAAACATAGTTAAATATTTAAGGGCCCAAAAACACAAGTCAATAGAACAGGCTTGTGGCAATTACAAACATAACAACATGTACCCAACTAGGAGACATATGGGCACTTAGGCTTAATTCTCTAGCACCTTCCCTTGTGTTCTATAAAACACTCATCTGAAAACTTTAAGAGATAATAAATGAGATCTAACATCTTAATAACAAATGAATATTCAAAATACTGTAGCAAATCGATTCAAAGACCCATTTCACAACTCATATTTATATAGATAATATTGTAAATGAGCCCAAGAGGGGGTGAATTTGACAAATAAATTTTCTTACAAATAATTCTTAATTTAAACAAGATGTATAGGAATGATATCACTAAATATATCAAGAGTGAGAGAGAGAGAAGTATGCATGAGAATTTATCATGATTCAACTTTAACCAATTGAACCTACATCCAGTTCTCAAGCTTCACTTAAGATTTTGCTCCATGAATACCATCAAAATTAATCTCGGCTCTTGGTTTTCATAGTACAATCTTGACATGTAATTTGAATTATTCTCACTTACAAAGGTAATAATTGAACCCATTTAAACTCTTGAGCTTAAGTCTTCTATTATATAATATGAAAAACAGAGATAAATAGAATAAGTTTACAAAAATGAATTACTTCAATGAATACTCTCTCAAAGAGTTGATTTGCAATTAATAAAATGAAAAATCAACAAATGAAATCACTAAAGATTGGTAATGGAATGAGCGCATTAGCCCATGCATTAACTCTTCTGCATCCATCTTCATAAATGTGTCCATTTATGATTGAAGTTGTTGATGGATCCATTAAGTCTCAAGGTGGTCAATATCGAAACTGATTGAATAAAACAAGCAGTAAAAGTTTAGTATTGGAGTAGTGGCTCAAAAATTGGAATAGGTCAATGATAATTCATATATTTTACACACGTTTACCTCTCTTATCTTAGCTTTTTAACACTTGTTTTGATATAATTTAAGATAAATGAGTAATATTTGTGGTAAAAGGGCAAAGAAATATTTTTAGAAAATTTTTTGGGATTTATTGCATATTTTTTAGATTTTATTGAATATTATTTTTTAACTCCCTAAAATTCATTTTTTGTTGATTTTATTCATTTATTTTTATGTGTGTAGGTGGTTATATGGAGAAGAGAAGAAGCAATTTCCTATCTTATCCTTCGTTCCTAATTGGTTTTTCTTAATTTTACTTTCCCATTTATTTTCAACCCTTTTTCCTGGTTTTTCATTTTGAAAAAAATAATAAATAATTGATTTCCTTTTATTTGCCAAAATCACGTGATACCAATTTTGAGAAGGACAAAATCAAATTCAATCACCAGGAGGAGGATTGATTCATTTTTTTCAACTTACGCGTACTGCAACATTCTCAGCCATATATATTATTGGTTTTTGTTTTGTTTTAAAAAAAAAAAAAGGAGTTTCGGGTGCTATCCCCTCCATCTTTGGGTCTGTCTTTTCTTCATCATTTTTGTCTCATCCTCGCCCATTCACTTTTTCATCTTGGTCTCTCTGTCGCTGACCCTCTTATCATCATTCTCTCTTTCGTTATCCATTCTCTCCTCTCTAAGGTTGCACATCATCAGTTCCTCTACCATGGTCGATTGTTCAGAGATGCTTGGAGTTGGTTTAGGACTGAAGATGCGTGGCTAGGAACTTCTTGATTCCTAAGGGATTGATGGATTGAAGA